TCCACTGGCTCACTCCCCATATGCCTGCCACACCAAAGCCAGGAGTTAGGAATTCAATCCAGGTCTCCCACGTGGGTGGCAGAGACCCAACTGTATGAACCATCACTGCAGTCTCCCAGGGTCTGCATTAATGGGAGGCTGGAGTCAGGAGCCAGGACTAAGTAAGTATCAAACTCAGATACTCCAAAAACGTATGCAAGCATCTTAAGTGGTATCTTAACCTCTAGACCAAGTGCTTGACCCTCTTCCACTTTTTTTGAGAGACAACGAGAGAGAGTTTTTTCTTATCAGATCAAACTGGGATTCTATTCAGTAAATATTTATTTTTATATGTTCGACTTTCTGTCTTACAACACTACCTTATATCCATTAGGACTTATGACAGTTCAGATACTTTTTTTTTTTTTTTTTTTTTTGGACAGGCAAAGTGGAAAGTGAGAGAGAGAGACAGAGAGAGAGAGAGAGAGAGAAAGGTCTTCCTTTGCTGTAGGTTCACCCTCCAATGGCCGCCGCGGCCAGCGCGCTGTGGCCGGCATACCGTGCTGATCCGATGGCAGGAGCCAGGTACTTGTCTTGGTCTCCCATGGGGTGCAGGGCCCAAGGACTTGGGCCATCCTCCACTGCACTCCCGGGCCACAGCAGAGAGCTGGCCTGGAAGAGGGGCAACCTGGGACAGAATCCGGCGCCCCGACTGGGACTAGAACCCGGTGTGCCGGGGCGCCGCAAGGCAGAGGATTAGCCTAGTGAGCCGCGGCGCCGGCCGTCAGATGCTTTTTTTAAAAAAAGATGCATTTATTTATTTAAAAGGCAGATTTACAGAGAGAGAGGGAGAGAGAGAGAGACCTTCTATCCACTGGTTCACTCCCCAAGCACCCACATGGGAGGCTGGGAGGAAGCTCCTGGCTCTTGGCTTTGGATCAGCCTGGCTCCAGCCATTTGTGGAGTGAACCAGCATGAATGGAAGACCTCTCTCTCTGTCTGTCCCTCTCTCTGTCTGTAGCTCTACCTCTCAAATAAATAAATAAAAGCTTTGGGCGGCGCCGCGGCTCACTAGGCTAATCCTCCGCCTGTGGCGCCGGCACACCGGGTTCTAGTCCCAGTCGGGGCGCCGGATTCTGTCCCGGTTGCCCCTCTTCCAGGCCAGCTCTCTGCTGTGGCCCGGGAGTGCAGTGGAGGATGGCCCAAGTGCTTGGGCCCTGCACCCCATGGGAGACCAGGAGAAGTACCTGGCTCCTGCCATCGGATCAGCGCGGTGCGCCGGCCGCGGTGGCCATTTGGGGGATGAACCAACGGAAGGAAGACCTTTCTGTCTCTCTCTCTGTCACTGTCTAACTCTGCTTGTCAAAAAAATAAATAAATAAATAAATAAAAAATAAATAAATAAAAACTTTAAAAAGTAATAATAATCTAATTAGTCTTGTCAGTAGACACACTAAGCAGAATGATGGTTTGTGACCAGTTTCTTGTTCTGTGGGTGAACATCAGCCTTTACCCTGAAGGGTATGTATGTTCATACAGAAATATTTTTTAAAGCTGTATGAACATGGTTTTAAAATGATCTAGGTCAACATTTTGTAGCAGAGATATGAAATTATAGTAATGTATTTCATGTCCCTGTATGCCTCTTCTGTCTCCTGTGTCAGGTTCTCTTCTGAAATTGTATCCCAGTTCCCTGTTTACATGAGCTTGTCATTCACCACTGGGCAGAGGTGGGTCTTGTTCATCTTTGTATCCCCCCATACTAAACACAGCACCAGACATCATGAAAGATGCTCAGTAAAAGTGAATTGAGTGAGTGAATTAATGATCAGCAAGTTACATTCCCTTTGTGTCACCACTTTTTTTTTGCTATCCTCACTGAGGACTTGGAGTACATGAAATGGTGTTAAAAAGAGACAGTGTTTCCAAATGGAACAGAAGAATAAGTGTTAGCATTATTCCTCTGCCACATAAAAGCAGCCCGACACTGTGGAAGGAGACAGGGCCTTGGACTCAGGGAGGCCTCTGTCCCTGTTTTGGCTTTGTCACTATGGCAGCCCTCTGACCTGGGAAAATTGCTTAAGTTTGAACACTCCCAATTCTCTCATCCGGGAAATAAGGATATTTATCTCTCGGGATTCTTGGAGGAACCAAATAAAGGGATTTATGTAAGTGACAAACACATAGGCAATGCTTAATAAATGTTCCTTATTTTAATCACTTGGGATAAATTTTATTACTGTTTTTGCTCTACTCCCTAATTGTTTGCTGAATCTCACGGCTCCTGACTCCAAAAAGAATAATTTATAGATTGACACATAGGGAAAGTGAGACTCGAGGTGACTTCCTAGGGTCACACAATGAAAAACGTGACCACGGTGACCTAGTTCAGGCTTCTCTGTGCACCTTCCACGCCACAGCGCTCCGTGCTCCCAGGAGGACTGAACACAGGCCTTCCAGAGAGGCTGGGAAGGCCCGCAGTGACAAGTCTCCCGGCTCCTTGTCTTCCTGACCCCGCCTGGGTGCGGTTGTGCTCCTGTTCTCCCTGAAGCACAGCTCGGATTCTGTCACTCGCGTGTTTAAAACCTTAAATAATTCCCCATATCTACAGCACAGATTTGTGAAGCTGTTTTTATATTCCTGTCGGATTCTCTCTCTCTCCTTCTCTCTCTCTTTCTCTCTCTCACACACATGTGCCCCATCAAGACCAGCCTGCTTACTAGCCAAGTACTGCTTTTCCGCCTCCCAGTCTTTGTTCCTGCCCTTTCTTTTGGCTAGAATGCCTTCTTTTCCTCATTTTCCAGATCTACCTCTAAAACAATGCCATGTTTGTTTGTTTAATTCTTATTTATTTGAAAGGCAGAGAGAAAAAGACACAGAGAGAAAGACAGAGAGAGAGAGAGAAATCTTTCATCTGCCGGCTTACTCCCTCAATACCCACAACAGCCAGGTGTAGGCCAGACTGAAGCCAAGGGACCAGAACTCAGTCTGGGTGTCCTGCATGGATGGCAAGGGCGGCAGACTTGAGTCATCACCTGCTGTCTCCCAGGGCATGTATTAGGAGACTGGAATCAGTAGCCGAGTCAGGACTGAATCCTGATCTCCAGTGTGCAATGGAGGCCTCTCAAGCTGCCCTTAACAGCGAGGTCAGGCACCCACCCCTAATGCTGTCTGTTGTGAGGCCTCCTCTGATCATCTTAGTACTCTCTCCTTCGAATCTCCTCTGTACCTTATACTTTTCCATTTGATTTATTCATGTCATTTACATGAGAGACAGAAAGAAAGAATGCTCCCATCCACTGGTTCACTCCCCACATGCCTGGGACTGGGCCAGCCTGAAGCTAGAAGCCAGCAACTCAATTCAGGTCGCCCCTCATGGGTACCAGGGACCCAACGACTTGAACCATCAGCTGCCTCCTCCTAGGGTCTGCATGAGCAGGAAGCTGGGTTGGAAGTGAGCTGGAACTTGAACCCTGGCACTCTGATAGGGAATCCAAGAGTCCCAGGTTTCATCTTTTTTTTTTTTTTTTTTTATGGTGAAAAAACATATATTTAGAATTAGCCAGCTGGACTCAGTTCAGAGGATCCCAATTTTGTTGGCAACGTCCAGAGCATCATAGTCAGGAGCCAGCCGCACACACGCCTTCTTCTTTCCGTCAGGGCTGATCAGGTGTTGACTTTGGCCACATCAATGTCATAGAGTTTCTTCACAGCTTGTTTGATCTGGTGCTTGTTGGCCTTGACATCCACAATGAACACCAGTGTGTTGTTGTCTTCTATCTTCTTCATGGCCGACTCCGTGGTCAGGGGGAACTTGATGATGGCAGAGTGGTCAAGCTTGTTTCTCCTGGGGGCGCTCTTCCGAGGGTATTTGGGCTGCCGTCGGAGGCATAGCGTCTTGGGCCGCCGGAAGGTGGGGGACGTGCGGATCTTCTTCTTCTTGTGGCTGTGGACGCCTTTCAGCACTGCCTTCTTGGCCTTCAAGGCCTTCGCTTTGGCTTCGACTTTAGGAGGGGCAGGAGCTTCCTTCTTCGCCTTCGGCGCCATCTTGGTGAAAAGGGTCAGGTTTCATCTTAACTGCTGGGTCAAATGCCCAACCTCTGTACTTTCTCTTTGTACATCATATTCTTTATGATGCTGCATTATAGTGTTTATACTTAGCTTCCCTGGATGTTCATCTTCTTCATCTCTAAAAGGACAATGTCTTACTAACCAGGTGTCTCAGAACTATTATCTTAATTGTTGAATTGCATTAAGTTTAAATATATATTTCAAGTTCAAAATAATATTAAATTTGTCTATATAGATAACTATAACAGGGATAACTCTTCAAGGAACAATTTGCCTCAGAGCCTGACAGTTGGTAAATTTGATGCCAGTAAGAGCAACCATATGAGAACTTGTATGTTCATTTTTTTATTTTTTTAAGATTTTTTTTTTTATTCATTTGAAAGTCAGAGTTACAGAGAGGCAGAGGCAGAGAGAGGGATCTTCCACCCACTGGTATACTCCCCAAATAGCCTCAACAGCTGGAGCTGGGCCAAACCAAAGCCAAGAGCCAGAAGCTTCTTCCTGGTCTCCCACATCAGTGCAGGGGCCCAAGGACTTGGGCCATTTTCTACTGCTTTCCCAGGCAATAGCAGAGAGCTGAATCAGAAGTGGACCAGGGGCTGGCTCTGTGGTGTAGCAGGTGGGGTCACTGTCTGCAGTGCTGGCATCCCATATGGGTGCCAGTTCTAGTCCTAGCTGTTCCGCTTCCAATCCAGCTCTCTGCTAATGCGCCTGGGGAAGCAATGGAAGATGGCTCAAGTCTTTGGGCCCTTGCACCTGCGTGGGAGAGCAAGAGGAAGCTCCAGGCTTCTGGCTTCGAATCTATTTGGGGAGTGAAACTGCAGATGGAAGACACCCCCTCCCCCACCCCGGCCCGCCTCTCTGTAGCTTGGCCTTTCGAATAAAATAAGTAAATCTTTAAAAAAAAAAAAAAGTGGAGCAACTGGGACTTGAACCAGCACTGCAGGTGGCGACTTTACCTGCTACACCACAGCACTGGCCCCTGTATGTTCACTTTTAACATTGATAATATTCCTGTAGGTGGCCTTTGACCCTGACTGTTTGGAATTTGTTATTTTATTTCCTCAGGTGGCAGTTTTATCTGATGGGTTTTAACTTCAGATCTCTGAAAGTTTACTTTCCTTTCTCTAGGCATTAGCAACAAATTAAGTAAGATCTGCTGTCATTTGCAACTGAAGCTATTTGTTTACTTGTTGGCCTTGGGAAGTCCTCCAGTTTGTTAAACAAAAGAATCTTAAGGAAGTTAAGTATAGCTTAGAAGAGCAGAGTTTATCTGTACATTTTACTCCCTGGGTTTTCTGTCTTTACTAAGCAGCCTTGAGTTTACTAGATTTTTGTTGTTGAATACAGACTGCCAGTTTACATCCTGGCTGCTCACTTGCAGTTCAGCGTTATGCAAAGGTTCCTGAGAAGGTGGCAGATGATGGCCCAAGTGCCCGGGTCCCTGCCCCCACATTGGAGACCAGGATGCAGTGTCTGGCTTTGGCCTGGCCAGCCCTAGCTGTTGCAGCTATCTAGGGAGTGAACCAGTGGATAGATGATCTTTCTCTGTCATTCTCCCTTTCAAGTAAAGAAATTTTAAAAAATAAAAAAGCAAAAACAAACAAACACCACTACATACATTGCAAGATGATCATGTCTCACTTGGCTAAAGCCTAAGAAAACCATCCATTGTAACAAAATCTAATGAAAGCTTGCTGACATGGCTCATAGGTATTAAAGACTACCAAGACCAAAATAATAATAAAATTCAGCACAGGAACACTATCTATTTCAAAACATTTCATTTGTTTTTCTTAGTTGCTGCTGTTGACCCTGAAAATCGGTCAAATCGAGCTTCTGGTGTTAATTTGGGGTTGTTATCAGTTTTCTGCATGTACAAGTAATTGAGTTTGAACTGTGTTTTAAGCCTGAATTAAAAGAACTTAGTCACTGGTGACTCATGGTGAGAAGTTCTTCCTTTCCCCTGCTGGAACTTACCGTTGCCTCCGACATGGCCTCTCTGAAATGCTGAAAACCTGAGGAAACCTACTTTTGTGTAGCAGACTCTGGAAAAATTCTTCTAGGTTTAAAGTGGTACATTTACCATTAATGCTTCTTAGTAGTGAGCACTAACTACAGCGGACTTTCCCAACTTCAGTACAGATTTCTTGAGTCTGTGCCTTTATGGAAGTCTTTTCATACATGAAATCCTCAGAATTCTAGATCATTTATGAATGACCACCGGGACTCTATTTTGTTCCTTATTGTCTTCCTAATGCTTAGACAAGTCAGTTCATAAGTGTGTGTTGAGTGAAGTCACAGACATTCTTAATAATAACACATCTTAGAAAAATAATGAAAGTCTGTTGAAACAAATTTTTTTCTAGCCCTTTTGAGTGAGGTGATCATCAATTCACAGTCGACCTAGTTTGGGAAGTACTCCGTTTTAGCCCAAGGTACTTCTGTGCTAATAATCCATTGGTTGTGCCAACCTTAAGTCTCCTTAGTGGATCACTTACAAAAGGAAGGGCCAATCGGCACCACGCAGAGGCCCTTGCACCTGTGGGAACCAATGGGGGTTGTAACAGGAAGTAACTGCAGCTTGCAGTACTGATAGTAATGAGCGCACCAGGCCCTGCCGTTCGCATCTGCAGTTCCTTGTTAGGATTACACAAGGTTTCTGCAAGATGTTTTTTATACATAAGCCGAAGAGAGAAGTCACTTTAACTTTGAAAATTATAATGTGAATGGTTTTTTGAGTTTTCTTCCTCATCAAGGAGTTGGTGAGTTGTCCATTTTTAAGTGCATTCTTTCTTTTCCTTCTAATGTTGTGTCTCCTGAAACCTTACTTAGCACGCAGGGAAGGGGGTGGAAGGTGTGTCAGTGTAAAATAATTAAAAGTTAAGCTGATGTTTTTACCAATAACAGCCAGCTCTGATATTTACATGATCCTATAATGGTAAGCACTGGCAGGATGTCATAGTTTTTATGTAAAATGTGTTTAGCTTGAACAAGTTTAAATTTTTCTGAGGGATTGGGGAAGCAGTTGGGGAAAAATGTTAAGAAACTTCCTTCCAGAATGTTAGAATGGAAGCTGTATAAAATCCAGTGGACGTGAACTGTCTGACCAGGAAGTACTCTCTTTAAGCCTCGCTTATAAAATGAAGTGTCTGTAATAACTTCCTGTCTCGGGTCGAAGGTGCTGGTAGACTGGTGGTGTTCTTACAACTTAAGTTGAGATCAGTTTTATTTTTCCTGTGAATAAGAGGCAGCTTCTTAAAGAAAATCATATCTAGAGCAATCTTATTGGTTGCTATAGCTAAATGAAGAATTTTTAAAGTTCTTAGTATGTTGGACTGGAAATACGAGATGGACACGCATTTGAGATGATCTGCTATGAGTAAGCTTATTTCGTGTTTCATTTTACATTGCCTGTTTCCTTATAAATATGGTTTGTACCTTCACATTGTTCAGCAGTAATTTAAACTTTCTGTTGAATTTCATGTGAGTATTTATGATCTTAGTTCAAAGTTCTCCTGGGAGTCATCAGCCTCAAATGTCATTGACTTCATATGCTCTATTTATTTTAATCTGCAGTGTGATATTCTACAAATAAGTGTTAGTGGCAATTTAAAAAAAATATTCTTTTCCATTCTTCTGGATAAATAAGGTACATGCTGAGCTGCAAATAAAATACTAAAAGCTTGTCAGAAGGGTGTTTTAAACAAAATATTTAAAATATTCTAAAGGCCATCATGATTAAATGGATTCAGTTTATGTTAATGACTGATATTCTTACCTTAAAATTATATTTCAAAATTAAGCTACTCAGAGTGATTCTACTCATGTTAGAGGTCTTTAAAAATAATTGTACTACTTCCTATTTTTCTTCTTTCACAGAAAGAGAAAATAGGAAAGCAGTTTCTAGCATGTTACATCAGAATTAGAGACAGTGTGATCAGTTTGGTCACATTTTCTTTGGTTTGTACTCTTTTTGTATCATTTTAGTACATAGGGTTCTTTTAGAAGTAACATGTCTTAGCCATGAGGTAATTAACAATTAATAATAATATGAAATTCCTCTAGTCCATAAAATGAGATTAGATGAAACAGGAAACTAGATAATTTTTATTTGACATGCTATAGTGTTTAAATTTAAAAAAATATGAGTTAATTTTATAAATGGGGAGAGGTGTCTTAATGCTTTCTTTAACAACTTCACCAAGCTCTTCTAGCAAAGTTTAAATGAAATATGTAGACCAATATGTAACCCTGACATCTCAACAACTACTATCTCACATGTTAAATGTGGAGTTAAGTTCTGAAATTGTACACGGGGCACATTTGCATCCAAGAAGCTTTGCAGTAGATAATACTGACTTGGGGGTGGGAAGACACTATTCTTTCTAAGGTATAAAAACCAAATTAAAAATTTCAAATAATCTTTGAAATGTGATACCATATAGCATGTGCTTTATTCCTTGAGGTTTATGAATGTTAAAGATTTAAAATTACAAAGTCTGTATGTTTCAGCTGTCATGCACAGGGCTTACATGATGATCTGAATATTATCAGTCCAGAAGTATCCCAGCCATAGCTTGCTGGGGGTGGAGCAGAGGAAGTGGGTAGTGCTTCACTGTGACAGATTATTGCAGATTACATGGCTGCCTGCCAAAGCACCGCTGGTTGAAGGGAAATGTGGAAGTTACGAACTGTATCCTATTAATTTGTGCATACTTATTTAACCATTTATGGCTGCCTGTTGGTTACATATACAGATGGAATCTTTAAACTCTCCAGTTAGCTGACATGTGCTTAATCTTCCATTCTCTGGTTTACGGTGGTCATCTTATCTCTGTTCTACAAAGACCACACTGCCTGCTCTGTAGATGGCCACGTGTTGGCAGAGAGAAGATGGGGGAGGGGATGCAGAACTTAAAACCTCAAATGCGGTATTTACTGTGGAGATAAAAATGTAAGGATGCCCCAACACACTTGGGCAATTTATATAGATTACTAATAAAAATAGCCATCTGCTGTGAAGGAGTTATAGTTCTAGATTGTTCTCCTTTGGCTTGGCATTGAGCGTCTTCAGTTCCAACATAAAAGGAAGCTTTGTGGAGGAAATGTGGCGGGTCTGCCCAGATGCATAAGGAGGGAGTTACAGTGAAGAGTTATTTTTGGAAGTCTCTTCTTAGGAATGTATCTTATGTACCGAGAAATGTCTTTAAAAGCTTACTTTCACTGGTGAGAGTTACACAAGTAACTGGAATAACAAGTCACTGGAATAGTCTAAGAAAATATTTTTTTCAAGCATTTTGATGTCACCAGCCAGGCCAGCTCGTCTTAAGCTGGCTGATCTAAGGAGTAGCTTTTCTTTTTTTTAATGTTACCAAATTTGGAAGATATGAAGATCCTGTCAATACCATCAAATAGTGTATGTTCTGAAAGAAGGAGCAGTTAAACTCCCAGTTCATCGCCGTGTCCCACTGTCCCTCAGGAACAGAGTGCACTGGTTTTGGTTCAAGGAAAGGTTAGATGTGAGGGAAGGAGTCGGCATCCTTGGCACAGTTCTTAGAGCTGACGCCCCTCCCCAGTTCTTTCTTGGACATGGTGAGTGGCATGTCCAGCTTCCTTATAATTCTCACTTTTGACTTTGGTAACGTGTTTGGAATTGATAGTACAAGGACACTTCAAAAAGTCTGTGGGAAAATAGAATTAAAAGACAAGTTTCTTGTGGCTCAAAAAAATATTTTTTAAAAGATTTATTTTACCTATTTGAAAGACAGAGTTACAGAGAAAGGTAGAGACAGAGAGAGACAGAGAGGTCTTTCATCATCTACTGGTTCACTCCTGAAATGGCAGCAATGTCTGGAGCCGAGCCAATTCAAAGCCAGAAGCCAGGAGCTTCATCTGGGTCTCCCATGCAGGTGCAGGGCCCCAAGGGCTTGGACCATCTTCGACTGCTTTCCCAAGCTGTAACAGAGAGCTATATCAGAAATGGAGCAGCCGCAACTTGAACCGGCACCCCTATGGGATGCTGGCCCTGTAGGCTGGGACTTTAAGCCACTGTGCCACAGTGCTGGCCCGAGTGCAAAAAATTTTGACATTCATCCGTAGTTTTGTCATAATACACATTTTCCATAAACATTTTGAAGACTCTCATATAATCTAATGTGTATTTTGATTCTCAGTCAATGGTTCCTCCAGAAAATGGATATTGGAAGAGATAACACATGATATAATGTTTAGATAATAAAAGCATGTGTTAAATTGTAAGTTTTTAAAGAGCATCGTGGGAGCACATGACTGGAATTCATTGATCTTATTTATGCCACTCTCTTACCACACTGTGTCCTACCTAATCTCAATGGCATGGACACAAGGAGGAGAAGCTGGCTACAGATTTAATCATCATTAGTCCAAATGATTATATAATCTGACCAGTTTAGCATTAGTAACATTTTTCTCTTTATTTCACTTCAGAGTTTCCTCCCAGGTTGGTAGAATAGCTCAGGAAAGCAATATGGCAAAGTGTTTTTGTTTTGTTTTGAGTGACCTACACAGTAGAGAATATATACATGTATTTGAATATAAAGAAGAATATGTGGTTTTTTTTAATATTAATTTATTTAATTGAAAGTCAGAGTTACACAGAGAAGGAGAAGCAGAGAGATGTCTTCATCCACTGGTTCACTCCTCAATTGGCCACAATGGCCAGAGCTGTGCCGATCTGAAGCCAGGAGCTTCTTCTGGGTCTCCCTCAAACTGGCGCCCATTTGGGATGCTGGCACTGCAGGCGGTGGCTTTCCTCGCTACGACACAGTGCCAGCCCCTAGAATATGTTTCTATTTTTTCTATATGAGATTCCAGGGTTCAGATCCTACAATGGTTCAATTAACTTTGTGTGTTGAAAACTCAGACTAATTCTTTTTTTTTTTTTTAAGATTTTATTTATTTATTTGACAGGTAGAGTTACAGACAGTGAGAGAGAGACAGAGAGAAAGGTCTTCCTTCCATTGGTTTACTCCCCAAATGGCCGCTATGGCCGGCGCTGCGCCCATCCGAAGCAGGAGCCAGGTGCTTCTTTCTGGTCTCCCATGCAGGTGCAGAGGCCCAAGCACTTGGGCCATCCTCCACTGCCCTCCTGGGCCACAGCAGAGAGCTGGACCGGAAGAGGAGCAACCAGGACTAGAACCCGGCGCCCATATGGGATGCCAGTGCCGCAGATGGAGGATTAACCAAGTGAGCCACAGCACCAGCCCCTCAGACTAATTCTCACATAAGCAGATTTTCATGGGGTTGTGTTAGCAAAGCAGGTGTATAACTGGTGTGTTAGGGAGGGGCGCCCAGAACAAATTCACAAGGCGCATCCATGAAGCTGTTCCTAGGGAGACCTGAAAGATATAAGCCTTTGTATTTCTGACGTTTGAAATGTCTGTGTTTTATCTGTGGTATACTCCTTTGCCTGGTAACCAATTCCTCAGTTAGTCTACGTCTCTGGCTTGTTTCTGGTGCCCCTAACTTTTCAATCAAGGCCCATCACATGGCTGCCAAAACACACAGTATCCGTGTGCTCCTGTCCGATTTATACCCTTATTGCCTTGTTCCTAGGTTATCACTATGGCTTCCTTCTTTGCATCTCTGTCTTCCAGCTCATCCTGATTAATCATCTCTAAATGCTGCTTCCACATATCATTCCCCTGTTCAGAGAGCTTCAGTGGCTCCTCCTCCTCTCCTTTAAATCTCACCTCTTCTGCCTGGCTTTCAACACCTTTTCTAG